TTTATCTTTCAGTTGGCTGATAATTCAGCTAGGAGGAAGGAGGCATCCAAATTATGGATGCACTGAAACTTGATACTAGTAGGATCTCCTCCCAGAGCTCCACAAAGTTCAATTTGCTCAGCCACATCAGTTAACTAGCATCATTTAGAAACATTCCCAACTTTCCACTCTTTGCCTCTGAAATTACATCTTTAAAAGTATGTTGGTAAGTAAAAATAAATTGCTAGCTGTCAACTGATATTTTAATAATGGAAGAAAGTTTGCCTTAAACAGGAACTGAAGAGTTGACCGAGTCCTAACAGAATTAGGGTTTGAAGTTTATCCGAAAGAATGAGTGGGGCTCCTGGGTGGCTCAGTCGGTTAAAACGTCTGACTTTGGCTGAGGTCATGATCTCATGGTTTGTGAGTTTGAGCCCACATCAGGCTGTCAGCACAGAGACCTCTTTGGATCCTTTTCCCTTTCTCTCTGACTCTCCTCCGCTTGTTCTCTCTCTCTTTCTCAAAAATAAAGAAACATTTTTTTTAAAAAAATGAATAACTCATAGTTACAGGGATACAACCAAGTTGGGGGAAGATTGTACTATTTTTACAAACTTGATCTATGCGGGAGAGAGAATGAGACTAGCACCACAATTCAGGATCACAGCGGTGAAAGGCAAATCTGAACTGATGTAGCAGGGTCCAGAATATGTGAAGTCTTGAGAGTTAGCCTGAGGTCTTTCTCCTATAGGCAATTAAGGAGCCTATCAAAAGCTTAGCTAAGCTACTCCATGGTATGCTGTCTTGGCATCCATTTTATTTGGCCAAGGGCCTGCAGTGATCTTAAACTGACAATAACCATTACCTCATGCAGCACACGTCCTAGGTAACAGCCCTCAGAGTCACACACAAATATAAATTCCTGATATGACTTCCCCAATTGCTCTTATGATCAAAAGTCCTCCCTTCTTCCCGGAGCTGTCCCCTTGTGTGTCCCCTAGGTAGGACACCCATGAAGCTTACCAAACCCCTGCTCTTTTGGTTTGAATCAACCAATTCAGCCTTAGCACAGGGAACCCCAAAGCGCTCCACCCACAGACACTAAATGAAAGCACATTTCCCAGGTGCTATAGCTTTCTCTGCCCATACCCTGCTTTGACCTCCCCACGTGGGCCCTTGAAGTGTACGAGGCACTGCCCCCAGGATATATGAGTTCTCTATTGCAATTTCTCTTGTCTGTTTCTGAGCAACAACTCACTGTCTGGCGCCCTGTGCTCAACTCGACAAAGGGTAACTTAACAAAATCATAACAGAACCACTAAAAATTTTTGAGTAGAGAAATAATATACTGAAAATAAAGAATTAGAAATGTTAACTTGATTTTTTTAAATACAAGGTGGACAGATTTAAGACAATAAAGTACAACTAAGTGGGAAGCCTGAAGTGACTAGACCTCCAACAAACTACCTTCCTTGTCTGCATGACCAAGTTTATTTAAAGCAAAAGCTATGATGAGTCTCCACTTGGTCACCTACTATTCACTCCTCAAGCCACCACAAGGATTTCTGCACTGGAAATGGTTCTTGCTAAAGTACCACTGATGCACCAATTGCTAAGTCCATGAGCATTTTCTTCATTTCCTATCTTACCTAAACAATCATTAGCAAACAAGATAACTGACCACTTCTACATTAGTTTGCTAAAGCTATCATAAGAAAATGAACAAACAAAAACATGTCAAAAAAACATACAAACTGAGTGGCTTAAGCAACAGAAAAATATTGTCTCACAGTTCAGAAGGCTAGGAAATCAAGGTGTCTGTAGGGTTCGTTACTTCTGAGGACTGTGGAGGAAGGCTCTGTTCCAAACCTCTCTCCATGGCTTAGATGGCCGTCTTCATGTTCACATGGTACTCTCACTGTATGTGTATCTGTGTCCAAAATTTCCCTTTTTATAAGGGCACTAATCATATTGGACTAAGACCCACCCTAGTTATATCATTTTAACTTGTTTACCTCCCTAAAGACCCTACCTCCAAATATGGTTACATTCTGAGGTACTAGGAGTTAGGACTTCAACCCTTAACATCCTCCTTCTTGACATTTTCCTCCCTTGGCTTCCTTAGAGGTCTCTCTTAATACATCTCTTTTTGTGATACTGAGCACTCTTTCTCTCATTCAGGCTTCTCTTCCTGCAGCTGCCCCTTAAATGTTGGTCCTTCCCAGCATTCTGTACTCCTTCCTCCTGCTTTTTATTCCACATGTTCTCTATCCAGGATCTATCCAGGGCGCCATGCTTGCATGACTTTTACTGTCATATACATAGGGATGTCTCCAAAATCTATATCTGAAGTCCAATCTCTTGCATTTGTCAAAACCCATAAAATTGTACAGCACAAAGAATAATCATTTACGTGTGCAAATTAGAAAAAAAATCATTTATGAGGTCAGGGTATTTCAGATCAAATATAGAATGTGACCAAGACATCTAACTTACTACAAATGTATTTACAACCTTAGGGAATGGAGTAGAGGGAAAGGTGCTGACCTCTGTAACACATACAGTAGAAATGAATAAGCAAATGGATAGCAAATGGTAGGGGCCAGGTTTTGCACTACTGGAATGGCAATTACAGACAAGCAAGGGAATGATCCATATGGTAACAGATTAGAGTTTCAGGCATCAGTATGAACTCACATTTACCTTAATGTAGATACAGATGGTTACAGATAGAGATATTTACAGATATATGTATATAGAAAGGTCAGTATATACACATTCTTTCTTTTACCTGTCAGCTGAAAAAGACTAGAAGTAATGACAGCTCAGTAGTACTGAGCACCTTAGCATCGGTGTCTTGGTTTCTAATACTATTCTCTAACAAAAGAAACCAGGGTTCCTTGGGAAAATGGTCAATTTTAGGCCTAGATTAGCATGGAGCATCTTCTAGATGTAAGAAAGTAAGGAGATGCTCAAAAACAAAACAAAGAAACTCACAGCATCTGGGAATGTCAGAGGGACACAAGAGCCAGCTGGAAGACCTCCTAATGGCCAAAGATGAATTAATTTGATAAATGAAGCCATAATGAATTATAACCCAAAGTATAAAAGGAATATCCACACGTCCACACTGTTATGAATAAATGATTAAATAAATTGACAAAGGGGGAAGAGTAACAAATCTCCTGTGCAGAAGTCAACATAATTGATGTTGATCCTCTGCCCTCAAGGAGGTGGTGCATAGCTCCCCACATCCTTAAATGCAGGCTATGCACAACAGTTTCCTTCCAGGGAGTACAGCAGGGGAAGGTAGAGAAAAGGTAACTTTAAGTGTTGAATCTGACAAACACTATCTCAGCCAGTTGTTCCAAGTCAACATCAGTGATAAGTTATACAGATAGTATGTATTCTTCATATGATGCAACGAGATGGCCCTTCACCTCTGTTGTCATCCTCCAAAATCCCAGAATCCCAGACTAACCATGAGAGAAACTTCAAATCATAATTTGGACATAAAGAGGACATTCTGAAAAATGCCTGACCAGTACTCGAAACTGACAAAAATAATGACAAAAAGTGAATTTAAAAATTCAAAAGTAATGAAGGTCTGAGGAATTCTTACAACCGAGAGGAGCCTGAGGACACACAACTAAATGTAATGTGGTATCCTGGATGGGATCGTGGGACGGAAAAAGAACATTGGATAAAAACTAAGGAAATTATGAATAAAGTATGGAAGTTAGCTAATGAAGATAAAATTCTATAACTATTTATGAAATGTATGAGTGATGTCTTACTAGCACCTTTGTTCTTGCTATGCTTCTTGGATTGTGATGAGTTGAAAGAGGATGGGATTTGGCATCAATCAGACCAGATCTGATCTCAGATTCACCCCTTGATAGCTGTTGGATCCTGAACAAGTTACTTTTCACTAAGTCTATTTCCTCATTTAAAAAAAGGTGCTAATACCTCTTCATAAGACTGTTGTAATGATAAATGAGATAATGATAGATAAGACACCTAGCAGAGTAATTGGCATATAGCAGGAGCTCAATAAATACTAAAATTTGTCCCTTTCAGAAATTACAATATTTGGAAGTCAAAAAGGGCAGGTCTTGTGTATTATGTAGGAAAGCTGAATGTTTACTTTAAGTCTCACGTTGCAGATTAGTCCTTTGCCATCTGACACTTATGGGGTTGGTATCACTTGTCAGAAATTAAAATATTTTTAATGCAATATGCCTTTGATGAGGGATAAAGCCTGTATCAGCTGTTAGAACCTTTCATAAATCTTCACCTTGTACTCATTCAGTATTTGCTTGAGATTTAATTATATTTTGCCTATTTGAAAAGTCCTTTCTGAACATATTTTATTAAAAAGAGAGCAGGTAAAGGAGAACAACCACTTAATTCTCTAACGACTAATAAGAAATGCAATAGACACAGCGCATTTTGGTCATGAAATGGACCTTAATAGAAGTGAGTTTTCTAATTGCAAAAAGGAAATTCAGTGACAGCGACCCAAAGAAGCCCAGGACTACATACTGTGCTGAAATTTAAAAAAAGCATAAGCCAAAAGGAAAAGTGCCTTCGTCCTCTATTTGAATACCAAAAACAAACCATCAAACACAACTGATAGGAACCAAACTTGATAACAACAATGATAATTGTTTCAAAGAAAGAAAAGAATTGTTATCAGGGGGAAACAGACCCAAAATGTGAATGGAAAACAATGCAATTTCCAAAGTAATTCCCAGTTTTCTTACTGGCTGTGTAAAAAACTTCATTTTAGACTAGTCCTCACATAGTAGGAAAGAAGGGCAGCCTCTAGTGGCAGGTTAAGGACTTTACAAAGTGACCTTGCAGAAACCAAATGCCTTTATTTCTCTTACTATATGCTCTGAGCAGAAAATATATTTCATCCAAGGAACCTGCAGAAGTTCGGAGCCAAGTGTGTTAAACAGCTTTAACAATGATCTAAGGCAGTATTTTACTATAAGGAATGAAACCACTGAAAAAACCTGAACGAAGACATAGGTTTGGTCAACTGAAGTCCAGTTCTCACTTAGTCTTCTCTCACTGAATCAGGAGGGACCCAAAGTAGAAATACTCGGAGAGGAAAACAGAAACATCTCTTCCACCTGAGAAACAAATATCGTGTCATCTTTTCAAAGCCTCCCCCCACCCCCAACAGTGCAAGAGAAAGGCTGGGAATGGGCCAGATAAATATTTTTTCTTCCCTGCACTTCTCTGTCCTTGGAACGTGAATCTACTTATCCAAAGCCTTGGTTTCTCACCACTTCTGGAAATTTAAAAATGAGTGAACGAATAAACTGTATTCTCTCATCAGTTACTGCTACAAAAACACTGATATTACCTTTGGAGGAAATACTACCTTTGGAGTTTTGCTGGGATGTGACGTTTGCCCATATGGACAGCTTTACTGCCCTGGGGTTAACAAGGCTCGACACGGAGCACTGTCTACAGGAACCGTCAGAAACCCTGTGAACATCCAGGGGTAGGCATTTTCTAAGTTCCCACGGACTGGGAATTGGGAAAATCACCGAGAGCCGTCAACACAAACTGGGGACTCGAGGAAGACTCAGGTCGCTCCACGAGAGAGGCCAAGCACGCAGCTTCCCATCTCATCGCCTCCCTGGACTGTCATCAGGCTCCACATTCGGGAACGTGGGAAACCTCGCACGTCTTCCTGGTATGTGACTCGGCCTCCTTGTTCTCAGGGACCTCAGATGACTGCCTGCGCTCCCTCCTCCGCCCGGCCCCGCTGGGGGTGCGACGCGCCACCAGGGCAGCGCCTGCGAGGTCCTGCCCCGGGCGGGCCCCGCGCCTCCGCCGCCGCCACCGGCCGCCGCCACCGGCCCCCGTCCCCGAGGCGGGCGTCTGCCGCGGGGCTGCGGGCCGCCGGCGCCGGCCCAGCTTCTCCGGGTCCGAGCGCCGCTCCCCTTGGCAACGCGGTGCGCCGAGAGGCCCAGAGCGCGACGACGAAGCTCCAGGTCTCTCAAAATAAAAGGCCCGCGTGGTCGTGGAAAGGAAGAAGGAGGCTTCGGGAGAGACGCAGAGGTGACTGAAGCCCCGGCCGGGACCCAACTGGACTTTCCGGACCGGAATCCCCGCCTCGCCCACGAGGCAAGCGGCCAAGCGGGGGGGGGGCCGCAGGAGCGCGCCAGGTGTTCGGGGCGGGGCTTCTGCTCACGGTGGGCCCGGGACCCCCTAGGAAGGGAAAGGGGAGGGGCGGCCCGGTACCGCGTGAGGCGAGGGTTGCACTTTGCCTGGACTTAGTCACGTCCCCATGGAAATACTGCTAATTGTTCCTCCACTTGAGAAAGGGGAGTGGAGACAAAATGTTTTAAACCTTGGCAGGCCCTTAACTCCCAGGAGTTCCTCCTGAAATTACTTCAAGGGAGACTGAATCATAAAACAATATTACCTTCTTTCCCATAATTAATATAATCATTTAATTTTTTAGAGTTGCTCTGCTTGTCTTTCACAGGTGCTTTCAAGTAAATTAATCTAGAGTATATTTTATTATCTTTTATTTATTAAAAATTCCCACCTCCTCATAGGAGTGCTGCCATGAGTTAATATTTGCTAAGCACTTGGAAGGTGAAAACTACATAAAAGTTGATGGAGTTACTCATATTGATACAGGAAAAAATAACTTGGTAGGATTGGTAACCCACGCTATCCGCTATCTTAACTGAAATTACATTGTGAAAAGGCTTTACAAAGGCAAAGCGGCTCAGTTCAGAAATAATTATCCAGATAACTTCAATTCCCCAGAAAATGGAATCCTTCTTTTGAAGAAAAAGTGAGTCTTGACTGATTTCGTTTGTTTTGTTCAATTATTATTGTTACATTTAAGGTAGTCAGTTATATAAATGTAGTCATTTGGACAGCTTCTCTATTTTAATTTCTCCTTCCTTTAAGCAAGGTCTGCATTAACAGACTGGGAACTTAAGAATGTTCTCCTTTTGTAGCAGTGTGGCTAATTTACTTTATGTTCACATACTATAATAGAAATTTAATAACGCTCCAAAAAATTTCAAAATTTTTAATATCTGTATCATTACTTACACAGCATATCTGACTAGTAGAGAGAAATAAGGTTAATAATGTGTTACTTTTCTGAGGTATATGACAACCAGAGCAAAGATAAGCACTGTATCTAGACTTAGATTTCCAGTTAAACATATTTCCACCAGGACCCACTTTTAATTATTGGGACGACTGCTTTAATTCCCCCTCTTTACCTTGCTAATCTCAACAGGGCCATAGGCATCAAACAACATGGTACCAAATGTGTTTCAAAAGTAATCTGAAGAATTTTAGAAAAAAAATATTTTTTCAATGCAGGGTTTTTAAATGTAGTGTTCTAAAATATGGAGAAAGCAGCTCCAATCAATCATTATAAAACTTCCTTATAATTCAAGCACAGAAAACATGAAAATTTAATATTGCAAAAGTAGGCCAGACCACTATCATCAACCTAATAGTCATCATCATTTATATCATTTATTAAATTACACGGCACAGCAGTGCCAAAAAGTGAAGTAATATTGTGAATTCACTAGAGGGAGCAATTCTTTTTAGTAAACGAGTATTACTTAGCTCTATATATTCAGTCGTCCTAGAGTGGATCTGGATACTCAATATAATTTGAGAATAAAGATATGCTGAATTCAGGAGAGAGATCTCAGTACAGATGTACTGTGATTTCAAGGGTTATTTGGAGGTTTTCTTAAAACATCTGAGGAGAAAAGAGAATTACTAAGTCCAAGTTAGTAATACGGAAGCTGAACATCTGTCAGCATCCCCATTTTGTTTTAATTTTCACACATTTATACTTTTAGACAAGAAATTACTGCCCACTAAGTTGGCACAGTATCTTATCCATAATGACCAATCAGTTTAAGAGCTAGGTTCCAAGTGTCTGGTATAAATGCAAATAAACTCCAATTCAATTAAATGAAGATAACTTATTTTAGTTAGCAACATACGGGACAGATGTTCAGACCAATTTACACTGCTGCTATACTTTTCTATAGTTTGGCTATTTGTGACTTAGCTTCAATTCATTCAGATTTGGATCCCATTTGCTATATTTATTACTTGAGATTTTAGCCAGAAAAGCATTTTAAGCAACAATTAATATAGAATTAATGAGTAGTATTTATACAACTGTGCCTAAGTGTTTTACTCTTGATTGCCTGTTAAATGTTTATTTTTAAATGATACAGATTTGGCCCTTGAAGATACAATAAACTTTAGCTGTTATTGAATTCCATGTTTTAATAATATCAAAGATGCTATATTTTTTGAATGTAGTTTTATTTTTAAAATATTTCGTTCAATACTATTCAGTGAATTTCTACCTGGTACTGAATACCGTTAAGATTGGAGATACAAAGATAAATAAGAATAAGATCCAAGTTAGCTCACGATTTACTGATCCTTTTAAAATAAAATTGTCCGAGGGGCTCCTGGGTGGCTCAGTCGGTTAAGTGTCCGACTTCAGCTCAGGTCATGATCTCATGGTTCGTGGTTTCGAGCCCCGCATCGGGTTCTGGGCTAACAGCTAGCTCAGAGCCTGGAGTCTGTTTCAGATTCTGTGTCTCCCTCTGTCTCTGGCCCTCCCCTGCTCACATGGTCTCTCTCAATCTCTCTCTGTCTCTGTCTCTCTCTCTCTCTCAGAAATAATAAAATAAAATAAAATAATATAAAACAAAACAAAATAAAATAAAATAAAATGAAATGAAATAAAATAAAATAGTCTGGGGTGCCTGGGTGGCTCAGTCGGTTAAGCATCTGACTTCGGCTCAGGTCATGATCTCCTGGTTCGTGGGTTCTAGCCCTCTGTTGGGGCTCCATGCTGACAGCTCAGAGCTTGGAGCCTGCTTCAGATTCTGTGTCTCCCTCTCTCTCTCTCCGTCCCTCCCCTGCTCACACTCCGTCTGTCTCTCTCAAAAATAAACATTTAAAAAATGGATATTTAAAAAAATAAAATTGTCCACAATCTATATTCATGTTTCAAAAGAAAACTGTGTATTTAAAAAAAGCTAAAGTCTTCACTGAAAGGAGTGGCATGTTTTCCTTTTTAAAATTTTTTTTTCTTTTTTCTTTTTAAATCTCTGGAAAATCATCACAAGAACTCAAAGTTTAAAGAAAAGTTTTAGAGTGTTCCAACATACAAGGCATGTTTAGAATCTAAATTGTCAATTCTGGCAGCTTCCAAGTCAAGTATTTACTACTATTTATTTGTATGTGGATGGGCCAGATGTTCCAAACTGCATTCCCCAAACTCCTTTCCTTAAAACTCTTCTCCAAAAAAATGCAATCTGAATACTTGTGTTATTGGATGGATGATTTTGATTGTGTTCCTACTTAAGAATGAAGGAAAAGGATACATGACAAAGGAATTCCTGGTAATGATCACTGTTTTCCACAGTGAATCTCTCTTCTTTCCCACTGCACCATCTAAAACAGTATATGTTTCTACAGTGTTATAATGTACTGGGTTAACCACAGGCTTTTATGAACTATAATAATGTATCAAAGTATCTATGAAATTATATTCTAAAATATGAAGATGTATATTTTTGTTGTACTGACAGCATCATTTCAAATATTATCATACTATAAATTAAAGTGTAAATATCTGAGTCACTAAGGAAGAATAATTGAAATAGATTAGGGCTAAAGATTACACAAGTTGAGAATGGGTTAATTTTTTTGAAGTCAAACACTGTGAAAACTCACTTTAAGCTATGACTTAAAGAAAAGGAATATTGAACTTTTATAAATATTCTGTATCCCAATAACAATGAGATATTTTGTTATTGGCATATAATTTATAGGGAGCTGAGAAAATAGGAATCCATTCATTCTACATTTTAGAATTAATTTCCTCAAAAAATAAGTAAAATTAATTTTCTTTTAAAGTTACATGATGTTAGCTCCCGTTATAGAAAATAAGTAAATAACAATAAAAAATTGTACTCCACATTCTGACCAAGCTATAATGTCCTTAAAACTAAGCCTTCAAACAAAGTTTAACAGTGGCTTTAGAAATAAAAAGCCATCAGCCTTTCTAAGAGTGAAACCAAATACATTAA